AAATTGCAGCCAGCAGAAGCGCTGCTCTTCGTCACGTTAATCCGGCCTGACGGGGAGCGGCGAGCGGAGATTCCTACTGCGAGAAGAGCAGATGCGAGAGGTCAGCGCCGGCCCGCGACTTCAAACCCCTTAACGTGTAAAACAGTGTGCATTAAAGCCCGAGACGGCTCAGGGCGGGATTAACGGATGTCCGCTAAGTGGGTTTGATGTGCTTTTGGTGAGTAATGGTTCATTTGGAAATAGGGGCGGTGGGGAAGTTTTATTTCGGTTTATTTCTGCCAGCCCGAGCCCACTTCGAACTGCAAGTGCAGAAAAGCATATCCCAAAGCGTGTGTCTCCTGTGGGGGATATGGGAAAGTGAGAGCTGTGGGGGGAAAGGGCAATTCATGGTCTGAAAACACAGGCATTATCCTGAAAGCGAGGGGATGCAAAAGGTGGAACAACCAAGATTGAGGGATGCGCTGCGTGCACTTTATCAGCATCTTTCCAGCATTCCCATAAAAACCCATTTTAGTGCATAAAAAGCTAGAAGATGAGATCTCCTTCAGTGAAAAGGTAAAAGAATTATTCTGAGTGATCATCTTTTCATCAGCACCATCAGCCTGACTTGCTCTTTCCCAAACAAAGGTGTCCAACTGAATTCAAACCCATTGGATTTACCATTCCTTTTCCAAAGGTGTTTTAGCAAGGAAACAGCCCAAACTGTAGATCAAATCAAACTGCGCTGCTCATACTTGCTCTCTGTTGGTACGAACGTGCAGCAGCCCTGCGTCCATGGCCGGTAGAATGTTTGTTCTGCTTAATTCAGACAAAGTGAACAATCAATGTGGGCAGCTGAAAAAGAGGAGGAACGTTTCTTCCACTCCAAAGCTACAAGACAGCTTGTGAAACCCAAAAGGCATTTTGACAGATAATTCCTTTTGCACTTTGAGATCAATGCATGCAACAAGCGCAGGGCAAACGCTGTAATAATTTCTACTTGAGTGATAATAAATCCATCTCTTAGGCAAAGCCGCTGCATTAGAGCCAACTGGAGAGCAGCCCAAAGGTCAGCTGGGCAGATTTAAGCAAAGGCCTGCTTAAATGGAGATACAACAGATCTCCTCTGGGGGGGGGGAATGCAGCAATTAGAAATGCCATTGCCCCTGGTAATTATAAATAATAAAAGAATAGTTTATTCTAGGGGAAATATGACTTAACACATCAAGAAAATGAGCATCCCTAATTACGGTTCAATCACAAGAAAGAATTAAACTGATGCAACTTCTGCAATACCCAGGATGGGACATTGTGCATGGTGGCGATGAAGGACACGTGCCCACTTTGAGACTTCAATTTAAATATGAATTAATTTCATTTAAATATGATTAATATAACGACATCTTAAATAATCCTCGTAGCCTGACACCAGTGGAATTGCCATGATGATAGTGGAATGGGGACACTGGCCCTGTTATGATGCTTGTCACAGGCAGATGGGATGTGAGGATGGTGGGATCTTTATGCATAGACCCGGCCAAAGAGGAGATGAGATACGCCATAGTACGAAAAGGAGGAACCACTGCTCACCATCTGCCTGACACTGATCAGCCACTAATTTCTTCCATGCATTACAACTGTGACGGTCTAATAAAGGGACTGAAGGACAAAACTAGGTTCCCAGACATATAAGAAAAGGCCAGTGGTGAAGACTTTGCCTTTAAAAGATGTAAGAGGCTGCTGGTGCACTAACGCAACTCTATTTAGAACAGAAGAATGTTGCCAAATGCAAAGCACTGGTCCGAAAACATTCTGAAGCACAGGCTGATCTTACATACACTGCCCATGAGAAGAAAATGAATCCTTTATTTCCCAATTCCCAGCACCAAGGATTTCATTTCTGCCTAGATGCAACCCAATCACATACTTCCACCAATACGGACTTCCTCACTCACATCATTTCCCACCACTGGCTACCAGTTAACTGGAAGCATCACTGGACACAGGACATGCTGATCAGGGAACCGGTGCCATCTCCTCCTCAGCCATGGTAGGAGACTCATAAGCGTTCAAACAAGCCATGTCCCAAACCTTCTCCTTTCATTTCACCCCCAGCCCGAGCTCCCTGCCTTCCATGGGCAGTGCCAGGCAGTGGCGCAGCAGGACCAAGCCCAGGTCCTGCAGCTGCACCCTGACCCTCCAAAGCCGAGGCGAGAGCGTTATTTCCTCCGTCAATCACCAGAATAAGCTCAAGGAAGGTGCGAGCATCCAGGAATCATATATTTTTACTGTGCTCCGCTCCCAGACACTACATTCAGCGCCAGTTCATTCAGCCTGCACGTTAACCTCTGCCAGTCCCCAAAGCTTCGCTATCGGTTTCTAATAAAGGAAAATGTCAACGGGCAGATACGCCAGAAATTCATTATTCTCAGATACAAAGATTTTTCTCAACTCTCTAAATCCACTCATAAATAACTCTGATTTATTGTAACTCTGTTACTGCATTCATAAAGGCGGGGAAGTTAGTGAACAACCTAACTACCACCAGAAATACCTTCATAACTTCGCAGGTGCACAAATCACAGCATATGGGAGAGGACTCAAAGGATAATGGAAAACGAAGCAGTTTGGGAAAGCCTATATGAAAACCAGCACCTACCTAGGCGGATAAAAAATGTAATTCATTTCCATTCAATGGGCAAACGAACGCAAAACTCTATCAGACCAACACTCCATTAAAATAGTGATTCTCCCCCCAAATGAATGAAAACAAGTTCACCTTTTGCTTAGCACAAGTGACAGTCGAGGGCTGAGGCTGCTCAGGCTTTGAGGTTAAACACAACTGACATAAGCTGCGCCTGAATCCAATCACTCCCCGTGCTCTGAGAAGATTCACATGCGAGAACCAAATTTGTCACAACTGGGTTGGTTTCCGATCCTCCCGCAGCCAACTTGCTTTATTCTGACCTCCATTTAACAAATCAACTTAATGGGCACTGGGAGTGCCATAAAACTTAACAATGGAGTGATTTTTACTTTTAAAATATACTCATGAAGCAAAATGTTGGAGAGCTCCTTCAATACTGGAAATCAAATTAAATCTAGACATTTTTTAGCAGTCTTGACAGATATAATCCTAGTTACCATGTAAATTTATGGTAAGCTGCTGTGATATTAGCCACAGGTGCTACTTTTAATATATGGCCCGCATCTGGCTGGGAATAAAATTTCTCAGAGGACTGAAAATGACCTCACTATCAGACAATGGAGAAGAAAAAAAAACCCCACAAGACCACTGTGGCATATAAAAAGCTGGAGATGTGGCCCACGACCGAATATTTAACATGAAATTCATTTCAGCTCTGCAGATTGTAGGTTAAAGGATATTATGTTTTCAATATATAAAAGGCGTGGACGTATTTCAGCCCAACAGCCAAAAGATTAAGTGCATAAAGCAGCAATGAAATACACAGCCTACATATATAAGAACAACTTTTCCATTCTTTGATCGATGCAGAAGACAAAGCAATGTGCAGGGAGCTGAAATATCGACACCCATTACATTACAGGGACTGGCACAGAGTACCCCCATCAAAATAACTCTAGAGTATCCACTGCATATCCCACCAAATTCATTCTGATGTGTAACTGGCATAATACAACAAGGATGATGAATTTAAAGGAGCAAATCTGAGCATGTCTCTCTATAGCTAAAGGAAAATAATCGGCATTTCAATGAGGGGAAAAGAAATCAAAGCATCTACCATACCATGCTCTGTCTGCTACTTTTTTCCCTGGATTACAAGCAAGCGAGCTAGTGAATTTGGGAAGGAAATGCAAAGTGAGAATAAGAACTGATTTAATAGTTCCAGAGGTTTTGCACATCTTTAAATCACTACTCAAAACCCCAGACTCCGCAATGGCAACGCAACACATGTGCTTCCACTCTCCCTGCACACTGGGCTCCAAAGCATCTCCTCACTGTCCTCTCCACTCAGGCTCATCTTTCGCCTGGGTCCTGCAGCCTCCAAACACAAGATGTATTTAAACCAGCTTCTCAGGCTCTTAGAGCATTTGATTTCCTGTCATTTCATAAATGACGTTAGAGGTCTTATGCAGACTTCCTACATGATTTACTCCTTTTCTTTAAAAAACAACCTTAATTAAAAACGGACCCTATAAAAGAAAGCAGCTGTAAATGCTGAACCTGACCATCAGCAAACTTGCCCACCTTTGTAATTTCCTAACTGCATTTTCTGCCTTGGCGTGATTACCTAAGGAAATGTAATCACACAGGCAGTTGCCCCTTAAACCTTCTGGTCAAATCCAACCGACTTTGACAAGAGACATGGAAGACTCGAGAAAAGAACCACGTATCCTATGGAGCCAGGCTGAGAGAGCTGGGCTGGGTCAGCCTGGAGAAGAGAAGGCTCCTTAAGGGGAGACCTGAGAGCAGCTCCAGTGCCTGAAGGCGCTCCAGGAAAGGTGGAGAGGGGCTTTGGACAAGGGCCTGTAGGGACAGGCCAAGGGGAATGGCTTTAACCTGCCAGAGGGGAGACTGAGATGAGCTCTTAGGCAGAAGCTCTTCCCTGGGAGGGTGCTGAGGCGCTGGCACAGGGTGCCCAGAGAAGCTGTGGCTGCCCCATCCCTGGCAGTGCTCAAGGCCAGGTTGGACACAGGGGCTTGGAGCAAGCTGCTCTAGTGGAAGGTGTCCCTGCCCGTGGCAGGGGTTGGGACTGGATGAGCTTTAAGCTCCCTTCCAACCCAAACCATTCCATGATTCTATGTTCCTGCAAATTTGGACTAACAAACAGCACGAGCGCTTTCAAGCTGTGGGTTACAAATTCCATAAGCCAGAAGTGTCATTAGCTTGTCAGCCTTACAAAGGCAGACCCTGCCGCTGATCGCTTTTAACTGAGCTAATCTCAGCCTGAAAGCTTCAGGAATCTAAATAACTCTTGTTTCACAGAAGTTTCATTTCATTCTCATGCTGAAAATAATACACATCAAGCAAGCTCATGTCTACACATTTGCACGACTCCATAATGAAAGTTGTGTTTATATTCCTAACATCTGTTGACATACACAGACTTTGTAAACCTGGCACAGATTTTAAAGGCACAGAATTTTCCATGCATCATGAACATTATCTGCGAGAAGCAATAAAGAATAGAGAGCAATGAATACATTCATCATCCCAATATCATCTGCAACACATAAATCTGGAATACCCTTCCTGTCAGCTCAGCTGCCTTGTTTTGCTGTTATTAGTATTTTACACACCTGATTTTACACCTGTCCTGGGTTCAGCAGTAGCAGTCATGTTTTTTCCTTTGTGTTAACTGGTGCAGTGCTGTGTTTTGACTTCTAGTTTTGAGAACAGCGTTGGTGAAGCCGATGTTTTCGGTTGTTGCTAAGTGATGTTTACCCTGACCAAGGACTTTGTGAGGCTCATGCTCTGCCAGGGAGGAGGGGAAGCTGTGAGGAAGCAGAGACGGGGCGCCTGACCCGGGCTAGCCGGGGAGGTATTCCATACCACAGCACGTCATGCCCGGGGTGGGGGGTAACTGGGAGTTGCCCGGAAGGACAGGGGCTTCCGGGTGGAACTCGTTTTCTTGGCCGGTGGTATCGTATTCTCTTCCCTTGTTATTTTCCCTTATCATTGTTTTAGCTGATAGTAGCGGTGGTGATTTGTTGCTGGACTGTTCTTGTCTCAACCCGTAGGAGTTGCACTCTCTCGATCCTCCTCCCCGTTCCTCCGGGAGCGGGGAAGGGGAGAGCCCCGGTGCAGGGAGGGGGGGGAGACGAACACGGACCTTGATTGTTGTCAGCTTGGCACCACTCACTGGGAGTGAGTGAACAAGTTACCTGACTGGGTTTAAACCACGACAGTTCTTTTTGGCGCCCAACGTGGGGCTCGAGGGGTTGAGATAAGAACAGATCTGACTGGATTGATAGTCACTCGTCACAATGCTGATTTATTGGCTCTCAAGGTTTTTCCTCTTGATCTCACAGTTTCAGTATACCATATCTTACGTCCATCCGGTATTGGCTGTATTAGTGTTTTTCAAGTGTGGGGCTTGGGCTAAGGTTTTTATCCCATTGTACTTTATGGTAATGACTTGTAATACAATAGAATCATTGATCATGAAACTGATCTGGTTTATGTTCCCAGTGTGGTCACCACCTTTATACTTTGGGAGGTATATGATGGAGGTGCTTAGCAATTACACATCTTTTTTCTCCTTCTCAGGTGCTCAACCTGTGAAGGAGACATCCTTTTACCCTCCTAGTCGTCCCCCCAGACCATTTACATTTGAGAGTTTTGAATTTTTTAAATGGCCTTTTAATGCTCTTGAGACTTGTTTGCTGATGGTGATGGGAATCACCATGCTAACACGCATACAGAGTGTGTTTTGCCCACTACTGATTTCAAGAGTTAAGCAGATTCAGGTTTGGGTCTTGTCTGGGGTCAAACGACGATGTAGGAGGACCGAGAGATTTTCCCAGAGGCTGGACAGCCATGAGTGGCAGGGTGTGTGGGATAGTATGGGCAAGTATCTAGGTCAGTGGGCCCCTCCAGTATTTTGGAATTTCACTACCGAACAACTGCAAAATCCAGAAGAATTAGTAAAACACTTAAATGAGGTGTGTGGTCATTCTGGCCATACCAGAGATGGACAAATCACGGCAACGTGCTGGGGCTTGGCCTATGCTTACAGGGCCTTGTTCAACACTATTCAGCACCTTCAAAAGGAAAAGAATGTCGGCGGATTTGAGGGCAAAGTGACAGTCGCTACTCAAACTTTGGCTGCAATGAACTGCGCAGCTACCCCAGTGGCAAGTACAGCAGCTGCTCAAACTTCAACTGCAACAGACAGCGCGGTTACCCCAGCTCCAAGCACGGTAGCTACACCACCCCCAGCAACAAGTACAGTCGCTACTCAAACCACAGTGATAATCACTGCAGCCAAACCAGAGGACCAATTCGTACCAATATCAGTTGCCCCTGTACGCAAGAGAACAAGCAAAAAGGAGGCAAAAAGGGTGAAGCGAGATGAAGAACCAATGAATTCACCACCCGGTCCAGAATCTGATCAGGAGTCATCCTCACATGACGAAGAAGAAGAAGAAGTCTTTGAGAAAGGGAGGAAAATAATCCAAATCCTGCTGAAAGCCGGTTTTGCCATAAAACGGAGTAAGGTCAAGGGACCTGCACAGGAGATTCAATTTTTGGGAATAAAATGGCAAGATGGACGTAGACAGATCCCCACAGATGTGATCAACAAGATAACAGCAATGTCTCCACCAACTAATAAGAAAGAAACGCAAGCTTTCTTGGGTGCAGTGGGGTTCTGGAGAATGCACATCCCAAATTACAGTTCGATTGTAAGCCCTCTCTATCATGTGACCCGGAAGAAGAATGATTTTAAATGGGGCCCTGAGCAGCAACAAGCCTTTGAGCAAATTAAACGCGAGATAGTTCATGCAGTAGCCCTTGGACCAGTCCGAACCGGACCAGATGTAAAAAATGTGCTGTACACTGCAGCTGGGGAGAACGGTCCTACCTGGAGCCTCTGGCAGAAAGCTCCAGGGGAGACTCGAGGTCGACCCCTCGGCTTTTGGAGTCGGGGATACAAAGGATCTGAGGCCAGCTATACCCCAACTGAGAAAGAGATACTGGCAGCCTATGAAGGGGTTCGAGCTGCTTCGGAAGTGATTGGCACTGAAGCACAGCTCCTCCTGGCACCCCGGCTGCCCGTGCTGGGCTGGATGTTCAAAGGCAGGGTCTCCTCTACACATCATGCAACTGATGCTACATGGAGTAAATGGGCTGCACTAATTACACAACGAACTCGAATAGGAAATCCCAGTCGTCCAGGCATTCTAGAAGTCATCATGGACTGGCCAGAGGGCAAAGATTTCGGAATGTCACCAGAGGAGGAGGTGGTGCGTGCTGAAGAGGCCCCACCATATAATAAACTGTCAGAAAGTGAAAAGCAGTATGCCTTGTTTACTGATGGCTCTTGCCGTATTGTGGGAAAGCATCGGAGATGGAAGGCAGCTGTATGGAGTCCTGGACGACAAGTTGCAGAAACTGCTGAAGGAGAGGGTGAATCGAGTCAATTTGCCGAGGTGAAAGCCATCCAGCTGGCCCTAGACATTGCTGAACGAGAAAAGTGGCCAGTACTTTATCTCTATACTGACTCATGGATGGTGGCAAATGCCCTGTGGGGGTGGTTGAAGCAATGGAAGCAGAGCAACTGGCAACGCAGAGGTAAACCCATCTGGGCTGCTGCACTGTGGAAAGATATTGCTGCCCGGGTGCAGAATCTGGTGGTGAAGGTACGTCATGTAGATGCCCATGTACCCAAGAGTCGGGCCACTGAGGAACACCAGAACAACCAACAAGTGGATAAAGCGGCTAAGATTGAAGTGGCTCAGATGGACTTAGATTGGCAACATAAAGGTGAATTATTTTTGGCCCGGTGGGCCCATGACACTTCAGGCCATCAGGGCAGAGATGCAACATATAGATGGGCCCGTGACCGAGGGGTGGACTTAACAATGGACACTATTGCCCAGGTTATTCATGAGTGTGAAACATGTGCTGCAATTAAACAAGCCAAGCGGTTAAAGCCTCTTTGGTATGGAGGACGATGGTTGAAGTATAAATATGGGGAGGCCTGGCAGATTGACTATATCACACTGCCACCAACCCGCCAAGGCAAGCGCCATGTGCTTACCATGGTGGAAGCAACCACCGGGTGGCTGGAAACATACGCTGTGCCCCATGCCACTGCCCGGAACACCATCCTGGGCCTTGAGAAACAGATTTTGTGGCGACACGGCACCCCAGAGAGAATTGAGTCAGACAATGGGACTCATTTCCGGAATAACCTTATAGATATTTGGGCCAAAGAGCATGGCATTGAGTGGGTATATCACATCCCCTACCATGCACCAGCCTCTGGGAAAATCGAACGGTACAATGGGCTGTTAAAAACTACACTGAGAGCGATGGGTGGGGGAACTTTCAAGCATTGGGATACACATTTACCAAAGGCCACCTGGTTGGTCAACACCAGAGGATCTGCCAACAGGGCTGGCCCAGCCCAGTCAGAACTTTTACATATTGTAGAGGGGGACAGAGTTCCCGTGGTGCATATGAAGAATTTGCTGGGGAAGACAGTCTGGGTTATTCCTGCTTCAGGTAAAGGCAAACCCACTCGTGGGATTGCTTTTGCTCAGGGACCTGGATATACTTGGTGGGTAATGCGGGAAGATGGGGAAGTCCGATGTATACCTCAAGAGGATTTGATATTAGGGGAAAACAGCCAGTGAACTCAATTGTATGCTGTTGCCTGCTGTGTAATGCTTTTATAGCCCATCAACTAGATGTCTCCAGGTCACCAGCGACTGGCCCTGACTTCCCTCCAGCCATCATCCCAACAGAGAATGAACTTGGAACATCATGGACCGAATGGACTCGGCAGCATTATAGGGATTGGTCCATGCACTAAGAAAATGATTTTTTTCCTCTTGGTCTGTATGTATATGGATGTATATATGTGGGAGAGCGATGGTGTATTGAAAATGTGGGATCTGAGCACGACGTGAATGGTATGGAATAAGGGGTGGATAATGTCCTGGGTTCAGCAGTAGCAGTCATGTTTTTTCCTTTGTGTTAACTGGTGCAGTGCTGTGTTTTGACTTCTAGTTTTGAGAACAGCGTTGGTGAAGCCGATGTTTTCGGTTGTTGCTAAGTGATGTTTACCCTGACCAAGGACTTTGTGAGGCTCATGCTCTGCCAGGGAGGAGGGGAAGCTGTGAGGAAGCAGAGACGGGGCGCCTGACCCGGGCTAGCCGGGGAGGTATTCCATACCACAGCACGTCATGCCCGGGGTGGGGGGTAACTGGGAGTTGCCCGGAAGGACAGGGGCTTCCGGGTGGAACTCGTTTTCTTGGCCGGTGGTATCGTATTCTCTTCCCTTGTTATTTTCCCTTATCATTGTTTTAGCTGATAGTAGCGGTGGTGATTTGTTGCTGGACTGTTCTTGTCTCAACCCGTAGGAGTTGCACTCTCTCGATCCTCCTCCCCGTTCCTCCGGGAGCGGGGAAGGGGAGAGCCCCGGTGCAGGGAGGGGGGGGAGACGAACACGGACCTTGATTGTTGTCAGCTTGGCACCACTCACTGGGAGTGAGTGAACAAGTTACCTGACTGGGTTTAAACCACGACAACACCATCTGTAACAGGGCAGCGGGAAGATCACCAAGGAAATGATATTTCCAAGTCCTTTGACTTTTATTAAATATTCATACTTTCAATACTGCAAACAGAACATTTATTCCCTGAAAGAATTTGTTCCTACAAGCTCTATATTTTTCATGGGTATAGCCCCACTTCTGCCATTTGTTCCCTAGGTTGTAATCAACACAGTATTTACTAACAGTCATTCTAAGCATCAATAAGCACACATGCATAAGTTTAATTTACTTCCAGCTTCATCTTATTGAAAGGCAAATTCTTGCTCCCTAATTCCCTAACACCCTGGGGATCCGCACACTGAGCCCTTTCCTGCACTGGTGTAACAGGACTGGCTTCTGCCCTCTGCAACCGCACATGGAGACACTGCAGCTAGTTTGTAACAATCAGCAGGTGAAACTGTGCCCTCAGATATTCACATAGAACCTTCTTCCACCCAGAACCCCCTGCCCAGCTTGATGTTCAGTTGTGAAGTCAATTCCCAGCCTTTCGCTCTCCTTTCTGCCTTACCTGACATCCATAAAGGCCAACCACGAACGAAAGAGGCTGCACCAACATCTCCCAAACCATTCAAGATGCGGTTCTGCTGGAGTACCCTTTCTAAGGTGAATTATAAATGTATAGCTCATCACTTATTAATGAGCATACTTGAATATAATCAGCTTCTTATACTGGTACACTTCACCAATCCTCAAATGAGGAAGACATGGATATGACCCTATCAGATGAATCTACAGCCAAAAAAACCCCACAACTTTGTAAATGTTTGCCAAAGCAGTGGGTTTCCTAGGTATCTGCTGGTGCAACACACAGATTTGTCTCTTGACCTCTCTGTGGGCACACTGCTTAAGTCTTCCTGACCAAATTGCCTTAGTTACAGCGTGCAAACCCACTTCTTAGTTAAGGGAGAAAAATAAGTCATTTCTAGCTGTGCAGAGCCAACAAAGACTTTGACCCATTCCCTGTCAGAAATGCCACTGCATGAATAGTCAAAGCACAAAGGCTGAAAATCTTAACTCCTCCAAGAGCTACTTTATCCAACCGGTGTCAAATGTGCTGGTCTCTCCCTGTTGCTCTACCAAGTATCTCACCGAGGTTTCATCTGAGCTCCCTCTCACGGGCTTCCCTCCTTTGCTGCCCTCTGAATCAGCTGATGCAGTTCTATGTGTTCTGTATTACCGTTCAGGTTTGAAGTGCAATCCAGGAAATCATGTACTCGTGGCTCCAGATGTGCTCATTGTCCAGCACTGCCCTGCTCAGGAGCTGGATTCTTCTGCAGTTGTTTTCTTTTGCTTTCACCCAGCTCAAAGGGGCAGGGAGCACTTCACTCACCTTCTCTCTACTGCCTGGGCTTTCCTTACCATGATAGCTACTGTCTGAAAGAGCAAGAGAAGAGCCAGTGTTCCAAAGTGCTGTTTACCTAGCTCACTGTGGCTTCCTAAAACATCTCGGTCCGGGTTTAGGCACAAGGTCTGTGTAAATAAACAGCTCACTGCATAGCTCCTGGTCCCTACACACCAACAAACCACAGCCTCCCTCAGCCTGGAGCTTGCTGCGTCCCTCCCATAGTAAGGAAAAGCTCAGCAAGAGCCATTGCCCAAACAAAGCCCTGGGTTTTTTCTCCCTACCAAGGAAGCACTCACCTCTCCTGCAGAAACAAAACAGAAGGGAAATGCCTGCTCTTGGAGCATGATTCTTGTCTAAGCAATGTCATGACTCCTCAGTTGTTTAGGGGGATGCAGCTGACTGCAGATCTTGATATAAACTCAGTATTCCTATAGCAAGTTTGTGTCCAAGGTGTCTTCTTGTGAGTTTGAGATGTGGGTCAGGATCCTTACACCTAATAGAAGCCCAGTGAGGTCTAACCAGCAGTGTGACGTGGTGAACACACTGTGAGATCAGCTACTATGATTCATAGGATCACAGAAGATTCAAAACAGAATCACAGATTCATTCAAGAACATAATGGAACTCTGTCTTCCTGCTTAGAAAGTGAATGTATCACATTCTCCCTACCTTATTTGCCAAAAGTCTTCTATTTACCCATTTTCCTTGAGTTTTTCCCTGATGAAAATGAACTCCATTGCCCATCACTTACATATTTCCAGTATTCACTTGGAAGTGCTAATAATGAGGAAAAAAACAACCCAGAATCAAATATTATTTCTCTAATCCCATATTAATGGCCCTGACCCTGATATTCTAATCAAGAAACTGTAATATTAGAACAAATCTACTTAACACCTCCAAACCAGAATTAAGTGCCTCCACCTAATGAGCTCAGGATCAGAGAGCACCCGTTGAGGCAAACCCAAGGGTTTGGCTCCACACAGCTATTCCCGAATTTCTGAATATAAATGTTTTCCCATCCGGAGCGCATGGAAATCAAAGCCATTGTGCTTCCTTTATATGAAAAGTGGTATCTGGCAATAATTACCTGATTAAAACTCTTGAAATTGAACTCTTTGTAGATGGCATCTCTTTCGCTCAACTCCACCCAGCCTGAAGCCTTGAGATCCAGTAAAACCTGGTTCCTCTCCTCCGTCGTCAACCAGTGGGCCTGTGAAGACTATTGAGGAGAAATGAACACAAACGTGACACGGGGGAGGCTGAGGCTCTCTTTTGTTCAACAATAAGAAAACCACACAATGAAATCATGGTTATGGATTGCAGAAAGGTGAGGAGGTGGGAAATTCACTTTGTCGTTTCATAGAGCAGCTTAACTTAAAGCAGCCCAAAAGCACCACTGCAGCTTGGTCAGTTAAATGCTAAACGCTTTTGCACAGAACTAGGGAAAAGCAACAGAAAGCAACATGGACACCATGTACCTGTACCCATCTCCTGTTCATCTGAATTGGTACAGATGCTGTAACACTTGAAGCATTTTCCAATCTTCCATATAAATAAAGGATTATTTACATTATATTCTAAAGGTACAATGATAAGGCTAAAAGGGAGAAGCAAACCAGGAGATTACATTCTATCTGTCTTGTATTTTACTACTTCCAAGAAAATAGGAATATTACTCATACTATTTCTTTTACTATTGCTAAAAAAGCAGGAATGGATTTAAGGATAATTTAAGGCTAACATGCGCTATTATTCCTACTGGTGCTTGTTCTACAAGCAACAAAGAGCTCTCCTTAACAGCGAAAAGGAAGAAAACTGACAATACAGATGCAAACATGGGAAGTTACAAGTTACTGCTACGAGCACGCAATTCTGCAAAGTGTTTCTGTTTAAATCTGTCTGATTTGAAGCAAGAGCAGCCTGTTTGAAGCCACTGCAAGCACAGGCAGCACAGATCAAACTACCTGCTTAAATACCTGAATCAGTGCTGGGGCTGTGTGTGACGCCAGAGCTTCCATGGGGCATTTGCAAGAAGCTTGATATTTTCCCTCAAAGCAGAGACTAAAAGCAGTAACCTATATGACATATTGTGACCAATGGGTCTGAAATCCACGCTCCCAGCACAACGCTTGCATGGGAAGAACCTCTCTCCCCAGCGCAGCAACATTTCGATTGCTTTCGTGCGTGTACCAGCAGCCAGCACAGCTTTGTGAGAGTGTCTGCAAAAGGGATGAGCAATTTTGCCCCAAAGCTTCACAGAGACCTTGCAGGTTTGTGGGTATCAGCTCAGGGAATCTCTTCCCTCTGCCAGTTGGTGAGAGACCAGCAGCAGCCCCAGTGCCACCAGATGGGGCTGTGAGCCCGAGCAGAGAGGAATTAATGCAATTAAGGCGTCCCGAGCGAGGCTTTAAGGGGCAGGCAGCCAAACAGCAACATTTTCACCAATAATAACGGACAAAACCAACCCCAAACGGCATAAATCAATCGCATAGCATCGCTGCCACCACTTGTGTTCAGCTGGATACACCCAGCCCAAGAGACAGGGTTTACAGGTCCCAAATGGAGCTAATTCCAGCTCTTTACGCTTCAAATGCAACTTTGGACTTGCAATAACACACCTATCAGATTTGTTGCTATAACAGCAGTTGCAGACATCAGTTTCTAATGTTCTTCTTTTTCCAAGAAGATACAAGAATTGCCAAAGCTAACGGCTGGCTTGAAATACATTATCTAGCATTGGGATGAAGTTAGTTGATAATATACAGGAATAATGGGGGTGGAGGGTTTTATTTGCGATAGCAAAGTTCAGGATCGTGACCAGGAGGCAGCACAAAGTTCATTCCTCTGGCTGGCAGCAGAGATGTTCTCTGTTAGATTTAGGGATGTTGCAGTTACTTTCCTAAGGCCTCACCCGGACACACAGGTACTGATGAGAAAATGCTCATGTGACTTGGAATGAAATCATAAAGATCTTAACAGAAATAGAGACTGAGCTTGATGCAAGCCCTGGAGCACAGCGATGGCAGCGTTTTGCTCAGGAACAGGTTGGGAAGGCAATGTCCTGAATCAGCCCCTCCAGCACATCACAACTATATGCAGAAACGCAGCAGAAAGCAGCAGGAACTTGCTTGTAAAGAGAAGAGAAGGTGGAAGATGTCACTTGCATCTTCACAGTTTTGCATACATAACACCATGCCACGGGCAGGGCACATGCAGTGAGACCAGCAAGGCATGGGCATCAGCACACAAATAGTACCTTAGCACACAGCATGACAGCACCCAACCTGCGACACACTATGATACGGCGAGTTTAGCCTGGCTATTGGTGACATTCATTTTGAGGGGAAAAGAGCTGTTAGTTACATAAAACGTTAGTACAAGGTGGGAGTCTGAACCTGAGCTGCAATTACCCATTGGGTCCATGTAAAACACAAACACTCGCCCATAGGGTCGCGGCTCATGGCCATGGCAGGCAGGGAACGCACGCGGCTCAAACCCCAAGCACGCGTGGCCGTATCCCAGTTCCGGTACCCCCTCCCCGGGCAGGGCCCAGCGCGGTCCCGCCGCCCTCCCTCCGCCGCGCCCCTCACCATGGCAGCGCGGCTCCCACCGGCAGCTCCCCGCGGCCTCGCCGCCCTCCGCGCTCCCAGCAGCGCCCTGCGCAGCGCTGCCCCGCCGCCTGCCATGGCCCCGGCCCCGGCTCCGCCTCCCGCTGCAGCGCCGGCCCGAGCGGAGAAAGCGGTGCCCCCACCGCTGCCTTCCGGTGCACCGGGACACGCTGCCCGGGGAGAACCGAGCAACAGCGGCCCCGGCCCGCGGGCGGCGGCTGCTGGGAGCGGAACGAGCGCGGTGCAAGGGGAGCTGCACCGAGCCCGGCGCTTCCCGCAGCGGAGGGGCGCTGCTCCCAAGACAGCGGTGTTTGGCCAGGTGACACCCGTTATCCAGGTATGGGTTAGGAATTACCGCCATTCCTGGGGAAGGTCCTGCCCTTACTCTCTAACTGACTGCCTGGCCGAGGCAAAACCGCTCCCATTCATTCAGATTCTTCATTCTTTATTAGTAAATTACAGCCTGGCTTTAGCTGCAGCAATACCAACGTTGTGTTTGCACAGTTTCCTTCTCATACACAGAAATACAGAGCCTGAGGCTGCTAAAGGGGAAAGACACATCCACCAGAAAAATACCTGATAAATAACTGCTCTGCAAACAATGAATCTTACTGGGTTTGTGTGTCTTTGTTTCATTTCAGCTCAATTTGCACTCTAAAGCTTCCTGTCAGGGTACTATGTCAAGCCTCCCCTGTGTATAAATGCCACGCAATCAGATAATCCAAGCCCCCACACAAAATACCAGTCCATACCTCATTCAAAGTCTTCCACACTATTTATAGCTAGAAACCGTATCAGTTCTTTGCATAGCCTCAGCTGCAGCCTGTGCAACCAAATCTGGGTTTGCTAAGTGGGGCAGGTGACCAGTACTTCAGAAGTTCATGCTTTTAGTCCTGTGAGAAAGTGACTTAAAAGGTTACACTAAAAACCTGATTTATTAAAAAAAAAGAGTAAGGCCAAACCATCTTTTTTCTCATAGTTAATTTTCCTGACAGTCAATTAGCACCATAACCACTCACCTGTGGTTTCCTTTGAAACATTCCAGGAATACACAAGCCAAAACCCAAAAATGATCTGTGTGGTCAACACATCCTAATTCTATGTGTTTACCACACCGCACAACAGCTTTAGTTCCTATGTCTGTAGGATCTGAAAAAGATCCACAGGTTGTACCAGAGCAGAAGTGCCTCTGCTCCTGTGCCAGGCAGCGCCTCACAGCCAGGCCAGGGTGATGCTGTACACATCTTGATCGATGGAGCTTGAGGACCTCTTCAGGAGAGGAGAGGAGAACTGCACCACCTATTTGTTACAGTCCAGGAACAATAAGCTGATCAGCTTAAGAAATACTTGTTTAGTTCATGGTTTTCATATTTGTTTACTTACCACAGTAATTGCCACATGTTCGCTTTTTACAGCTTGATGAATAAAGCAGATATTTAGTCAACGTTATAAATTACAACCACCAAATTCAACAGCTCGTCCTTCTGTGCTTGTAGTCCATACAAATTCCTGCATTACCAATAAGCAGGAAATTCTTTTCCTGTTTCAGGATCTCAGATTATTCCTGATGCTCATGCTCTTGTCCCGGGATCAGCCACCGAATACTCTCCGTGCGCACGGTGGCATAGAGGACAAAGCTGGCCAGGAAGAGCAGTGAGAACAGGAGCAACCAGTCTATGCCCTTTGTCAGAACGCTGGGCAGGGGCCCTTCCCAGTCCTCCTTGGTCACAACCACGTCACTTTTCGCTTCTATTCCTGAAAGAGAAAGCACTTGATCAACACCAGAAATAACCATTAAACACAGAGAAGCTGGTTCCATTTGGAGCTTTGTTCCTGATCCCAGACTACAGTATGTGTACAGCCCTCACAGCATCTCTGTGGCCTCCTCTAGATTCGCTCCAACGCACCCCTCTTGTGTTGTTGTCTGAGAGCTGGACACTGGACTGCAGGGGTGTCTCCCCAGAGATGAGCAGAGGGGAAGAATCCCTTCCCTCAACCTGCTGGGCAAGAGGATGTGCTCAAACCTTCTAGCACCCTCTCTAGTTAAACACCGCTGTTTCCCCCTGTTCTGTGACAGCAGCCCAGTGAGTTGAGTTCCTGCTTTCAGCACACTCTGAAGCCCAGCTCACTACAGCAATGGATTCTATAAACCTCTGCTGGGTCTTCATGAAATTAATTTCAAAGAACAAACAGCAGGGAGAGGAAAGCCCAGCTTGGAGCTACAACCAGCCTCTTCCTCCTAATGACACATCAGGGCTGATTCACTTACCTGTTTGATTAAAAATGAACTCTTTCAGTGTTTCCAGTGTCCTGTCTGTATGATTAAATCTAGCCATAGGCTTAGCACCTTGGAAAAGGAGGATATTGGGTACAGCCACAGTTCCAAATCTCGTTGATAAACTGGTGGACATAAAGCAAATACAATGCATGAAGGAGAAGGGATCCACTGGACGAAGAAACAAAGATACCAACAACACACAAAGTGGCAGTTTTACTAAATTAAACTGACACTTTATAAGAAAAAAAAAAAGCCACCCCGTTTTAAAAGACAGATTGCTAAAGGAAATAAACTGATGCTAGAGACAGGGAGTGCAAGTTACCTGCTGTGCTGAGATGCATCCAGGGCCAGGAAGCGAAGAGTTGGAAACGCTCGAGGTAAGGAATTAAAATGAGGTGCCAGGCTGGCAGAAAAGCGGCACCACGGTGTGTAGAACAAGACCAACGTGCAGTCACTGCTGTTTGGGTTTAGGAACTCCATCAGGTCCTTAGAAAATGAAGGAGAAAACCAAATATGGATGATTATGTATTTGATAGAGTTGAATTCTATGCAGGAACACATCACTCAGCAATCGATTAGACTCTCGGCAATACTTATCAAGTAGCTGCACCTTTGTTTAACCTTTTTAATAGATGAAGAATTACATTTAAACTTTTTAAAAGGTTGTTTTAAAAGCTTATTACTTAACAGTATATATACACACAGCCACTACAAGAAACAAACTAGAAATAGGTGCTGGCAATAAGCACCACTAACAGTTTCAGAGAGACACACTAATCCATGCAGCACAAAGGTTGATGGTTCACTGCATACAGATGAGACACAGGCATGGGGACTGAGATGTTATCTTCATTTTTTTGTGCTCAGAATGACACTAAAGGCCTCCTTGGCCAGACACTTCCTCCTGTTGATAGCACAGAGGATGTTATACAAGGACATTCACACAGCCAGACACTGAAAGCAACACACACATGGTGCTGAAAGGTAACCCACCTGCGACACGTTCAGGATCTGCAGCATTAGGCGCTCCATACCAGTCGTGTTCCTCTCTTCACAATTCACTTTGGGAGCCTTGGCGCTGTCGGTGCTGTTGGTCTCCTCGGCGGGCACAGGCGACACCGTCTCCAGCCCGGCTTGCTCCCGGGACTGGCTGCCCGTCGCGCCGCATGCATCACCTCCGGCCAACGCGTCGCAAACCCCGGTAGCCCCGGCGGCCTCCGGGCCGTCCTTCGCCTCCCCGGGCACCACCGAGAGCACCACGGCCTGCTGCGGCGTGGGGACCCCGCAGCCCTGCATCGCATCCGCCATCTCCGCAGTCCGGTACCGCACCGGCTCGCCGCCGTCCTGCGCGGGGCCGCCCCCTTGGCAGCGGGGCTGCCCTCCCGTGCTCTGCTCCGCCGCCCCTGCGCCGGGAGGGAGATGTCAGCTCTGCGCACCGACCGGGCCCTAGAGCCCACCGCGGTTCCAGCGCCGGCACCCCCCGCCCTCACCTGCAGGCAGGGCCCTGCCGAGCCAGGCCAGCGCCAGCAGCAGCCGCCACATCCCGGTACCGGTCTCGCCGCCTCAGCACCACGGCGTCTCCCCGGACAACGGCCACTTCCGCCGGGGCCCTACTCCACTTCCGCTTCCGGCGTGACACCGCCGTGCGTGTGCGTGCCTAGCGCAGTGAGGGCGGAGAGCCGCCATCTTGTCTTGGCCGCGGGGCAGCGGCTGGGGTCGGGAGCGGCTCCGTGAACGCCGGTGCTCTGCGCGGGCCCGGCCTCTTCCAGCACCACACACACCGGGCTGGGTTTGTCTCCCGCGGGGACCTGCAACCCAAGGGCCTGCTGCAGCCGGGGCGTCCCGGTAGCCACATCTGCCTGCCCGCCCACCCACCGCAGTGAAGCACAGATTAGAGACCGGGAAAAAACTTCCCTGTGAGGGTGCTGAGGCGCTGGCCCATCCCTGGCAGTGTTCAAGGCCAGGTTGGACACAGGGGCTTGGAGCATCTGTGATTCTATGAAAAATCAATGTATTTTGACATAACTAACCCGTATACTGAATATATGTAATATATATGTTTTAACTGTACACGCGCCTTGGTGTGAGAAGAGGAACAAAGCTCCAAATAGAACCTAAACCTTGCTACAAAGCAAGTAAGCCTTGGTGTCTGATCATACATTAAAGGATGTAAAATCTTCATTTCATTACATGGCAGAGAACACAGTGGCCATGGGAGCAGTCAGGCAACTTCCAACACAGCCAAAAAACCTGGATTCTTGTACGATATAATCCATGACTGACAATACCCCAATACTGACAGTTTCTTCACAATCAATAAACTGATCTCTTTTGCTCAGGGTATTGCATCCAGGAACTGATTTTTAGGCTAGGAGGGAGCAAACTGTGCTGTGGAACTCTGTGCTGGACATACCCAGTCATCTTGAAAGCCACGTATATAGAATCACCAGAATGGCCAGAAACAAACTGAACTGGCATCAGATGTCTTTTTCAGTTAAAAGCAACCTAAACGTCTGCAACTGACATTTAAATGTTTCAACCCTGTATTGAAACGTTTGGAAGTACATGGAGAAAACAGAGGGTGCTGGAGAGCAAGGGAGGACAGAGTCTGGCTGCTAGGTAGCACTGGCTGGCTTCCCCACCATCACTGAAAAACATCAGTAGAGGGGAAAACTAAACTACACTAAACTAAAAAAGGGAGCTGGGGGGTATGCAAAGCACATCTTACCAACAAAGAGAAACTGGAATATTGCTGGAATACAGGGATAAACAGATCTCATTCATCACAGAATAATGAACAAGGAGCACCATTCTGTGAAAGTGTGCTTTATGAGCATTACAAATTGATATCTATGTGCAACAGAGGAAAAAAGAAGTTAGCAGCTTACTATTTATATGGAACTCCTTTCCTCCCCTCTTCTCATATTTGAGTGCAAGGGTAAGAACAATTACGTTACTGTAGCAGTATTTTCAATTCATTAAAATAACCAATATTCCCCTGTGTTTTGATACCTTGCAATTCATTCAGGCTTTCTGCCTTAATTCAAACCTACGGGACTTGCCTGTAGCAAGCAATACACCTCTCATGCTGGAATTCAGAAAGCAAAGTATACTGAAAGGGCAGGCTTATTTAATTGAAACATCAATTTAATTCCATTCATCCAGTCACCCGACACAGTGACCTCCCAACACTCACCAACCCTGTGTACGTTCTGAAGTGCACACAGGCACGAACACAGTCCATCAGTGTCAGTTACACTTCGAGAGGCAGTGGACAAACCCTAACACTAATCTAAGGGTGTGAAGTGAAATGTGGACAAGGTACCCCAAAACATTTCAGTGCCAGTTTGCGTCACTTGTCTCTGACCGAGATGTCAGGAGAACAAACACATTTCCATATCCAAGAGGCATCTTCATGCAGGATTTAAATGAAAAAATAGAAAAAATAGGGAAAAAACAGTTAGGTTTTAAAGTATTAACTTTATTAATAAATATACATCCATATGATGATGTAAATACAGATCATGAACACTACTCCATTCCCATACACATAATTGCACACGAGTAGCTCAAGTTCATGGACATAAAAACATACACAGTATCTAATCAGGCTTTTTACAGCAGAGGATGGGGTGCCAATACTAGTTATTTGATTACTGCTTCCCCCAAAGTAAACCTGTGGAAAAGCAAATGATGAAAGATTAAAGTATCAGAAAGTGGTTCAAATTTTAGAATACAGGTGTTTCTATTTGGGAAGAAAAAAAAAAAATCACAAGGAGAAAGGTCTAATCTCTACTAACGTCATAAATATATTTAAGCAGTGTTAAAATATATGCATTAAAATAGAGAAGAATAAACTTTTTTTTTGTGGTCAGAAATGAAGTCTGCAGTTTAAAGTATTTATGATTGTTATCAGCTGTTTTAACTGTCAACTCTTAAGCGTGAAACATTATTATACATATAACAAAGACAGCAGAGTCACAGCTAATGAAACCATCAGACAAATGACTTCACATTGCTCTGCCTTTTAAAGCTCTTCAAACGTGGGGGAGGGAGTTCAATTCTCATCTGAATTACTCTGCGTATTGTAGTTCCAAGTAATTCTTTTCACAGACACATTGCTTTTCGCTTACAAGGCTTGGGTTTGTCCTGACTGAACTCAAGGATCTTTCATTCAGAACAGAGATCTTTAATGGCTCTTGATACATAGAATGGTTCGGGTTGGAAATGACTTTAAGATCATTGAGTTCCAACCCCCCTTTCGATTCATTTCAACTAAATCCAAGATACAAGAACATTGCCTCAATGACAAAGCTAACTGCCGACTTTAAAGATACTATCTTTGCTATCAGTCAGCACTTCTGATGGTGTCTCATTTTTCTTCTGCCAAAATACGGTGCGAGCATCTTGAATATGTCCAGTGCAAGACTTTATAGTAGCAAAATTATTTGGTTTTAAAGTTTAAGTAAATTTAATCAGAAACTGAATAGTAGTTACTATATGTATATTAAACAGTGAACTCTTATAGCATCATGAAGGAATAATAGCAAGCTAATACATTTCATTGATGTATAAATAAGACGTTAAAAACTTGATAATTAAAAGGAGTTCTTAAAACCCAAACTTGACATGGAGATCTTCTGAACAGTGTTAACACACAACAGTGATCCTAGCTTACCAATAGCTGAATTATGAGAGATAATATAAAATAAGCAATTTAACCTTACAAGTAATGTTTTCATCCTATGGGGGGAAAAGGCCAGTTTTCCCATTGGTACTAATAAAGTTTAGGCATTAACATGCTGTTTCAGTGTTTCTCATGGAAAGAAAAGTGTTGAAAAAAGCACAATGTATTCTGCAGATTATACATAGGAAAAGCAGAAGTATTTGAAAATTCCATTTCTGGTTCACTTTGAACCTCTGTAACTTCATTTTCCTTCTCCTCGCTGCATGGCACCAGGAAGCTATAGCCAGACAGAAAATCAACTGGAATTTGGAAATGCCCAGCAGTGCCCTTCTGGGTCTCCTGGCTAAATCCAGAGTGCCAAGGAGCCCATTACAGTATCTCTGAACACTTTTCTACTTTATGCTCATCATTCCACGATTGACAACATTAATTGCTTTTTACTGGGATTATATTCCATCTGATGTAATTAATAAACACTGTAATGAACAGGAATTGCTTAGCTGATTTCATTATTTCATCAGCATACTCAAATACAGAATTCATTATACCAGCAGAACAGCAATACATCGGCGTTATCTCCTGACACACAGCACAGCACCACTGAGGAGATGCACGAGTGAGAAACAAACAGGAGCAACAGGATCAACAGGAGGAGGTAAGAAGTGGAATTTCTCCAAGGTACAGTGCTGACATGCAACGCGCTCCTTGCCAGTGAGGTGGGATGCTCCTGCGTTATTACATTCAGCTGAAGAGGAACTGCTTTCCCAGCTGAGCTCAGCAAAGAACTTAGAGCAGTCTTTTGGGGAAAAATCATCTGATTAAAACCAGCCAATACAACACAGATCCTGAGGGTTAACTCACGTTAACATTTTGCATGTGTCAGAAGTTACAGTGTTCTGAGAAAGACTGCTAAGTTTCAGACTTCAGAGTTTGGTGAGGAACAGAACGTATAACTGGATTTCATAGTTTCAGCATGAAGAAACTCTACCTTTTAGTAGCAGTTTAGCTGCCATTAGTTCCTCTATCGCCTAAGGAGCCATCCAGTACAGTTGAGGTTCATTGTCTTAGTTGCCAGTGCATACACAGTTCCCCCAAAACAATTCAACACACCTATTGTAAAGTACAGCATAAAGTCCAGCTCAATATGTGTTAGGCATCACTGGAACACCTGAAGGCTTGCTGCTTTTTTCCTGACAAAAAAGGTATGAAACATGACATCTGTTTCGTAAGTTGTCATCACTGAAAGCAAGAGGTCTCATCAAAATGACAGCAGGCCAGAATAGCATTTATGTTAACAAAAAATACCAGCATCATTCAGCACAGGCTCAATTCACCCAAACTTTTATGCTCCCCCAAATCTGCAATGTCTTTATATATATATATTCCCCCTCCCCAGATATTTTAAGCTACAAATAATAGCATATTATGTATGGAAACAACTTAAATGTAACCTTTCTTCCTGATGGAAGAAAGAAAGGAAAAGCTTTAATTCCAGTAAAATAAATGTAGCACAAACAAGCTGCAACATTGAGGAGTGATTTTCTGATGTCTAAAGGAGAGTATTTTACACACACACACACACACACACATATATACACACACACTCTCTCACACTTAAAAATCAAATGCACCCAGTTGAAAAATGGAACATTTCTTTTGGATGGAGGGAAGGGTTTAGTTTGAGACAAGAAAGGTTATTTATAGCTAACGCAGAACAACTTTTTTCAGCTTGCATGCATAGATGGATTACTTTCTAACTGGGGTCTAGCAGGGCAGTAAACTACATCCTGTTTGCATCAGCTATAGAGTCTGCTTTTATAAATCATGAAAATGGTGTCCTTTGGTAGATATATAAGCTTCCATAACTTAAACAGAAGTGACAAACAACAAAATAACTGTATTTCCAGGAATATCTGGCGAAAAGAAGTATGAAAACTTGGCAACAGTGTCTATTTAAAAACACTTTTGTCAGTGTTTGTATTTGTAAACATTATAGGTTAATATTTTAAAAGCTATTAAACTGTTGCCACCTAAGCACAGATTTTAAAGGCAAAACCCAGTGTAAATAGCTATTTACAGATTTAAGAACATACTGTTTAATATTGATCAAGTGTGTAACTAGAATGAACAGTACTTAATGTCTTAGAAAATACTTCAGTTTTCAAAGGATTATCTGTGGTTTGGTATAGGTACTATTAGGCATTTCAAAACGACACAGCAGAATCCTGTACCAGCAGAACTAAAGGAACAGCTATCACCTAAAGGCAAACGAGCTTGTATTAATAAGGCTCTGTGAATGTCCTGTACAAATGCTCAGTTTCCTGCAGCTCCAAAAACAAAAGCCACCTGAACTGAGCACTTTAAAAACAGGTTGGGGTTTTGTTTGTTTAAGTTTTTAAGTGTCTATTTGAGGTCTGTAGAAGCTCCTGCACAAGTGGAAAATGCAGCATGCTGCTTTCTTCATCAGGTTATCAAGTAAGAACTCATCTGGCTAAGCTCCCTGTTGTGGGATAGGCCACATCATGACCCAAGAGCGAGCTAATTCTGTCCTCCTTATTTCACTTATTTAATGCATAACCACACAACTAGATTTTCCAGAAATTAAATGTAAAACTAGGGACACGACATTACTTAAGTATTGACACCAAGTCATAATGCATCACTTCAGACTTTCTTAGAAATGATCATTTAAAACCCACAAACCCCCCTTTAAGCCAGGGCCTTCTCAACATTACTTTTAGTTACTGAATTGCACCCGCAGGCTATGGCATTATCCGAACAAAAATAAAAGCTAGAAACTCAGGCAAACACTACAACCAAATGCAAGAAACATGCCAAAATTCAGAGTAAAGCGGATTAGTAAGGAGTTCCTAATTCCCTCCTTTCATTCATTAGGCTGTTTGATTTTGCTGCTAGTCTCCCCAGCAGCATGTACTCCTCTGTTATGCACCATAGGATAAGGAAAAGCTGCACTGCCACAAGTATAACTTAGATTTGCAAGCCGTGATAGAGCTTTAATGCTACCTGGAGGTCTGCCTGGGCTGACTTTGTATCCTGCTGCTTTAGTTGTACCCAAGGGTCTGCCTGGACTTGTCTTAAATCCAGCTGCTTTGGTGGTCCCGAGGGGTCGACCTGTGCTGGTTCGGTACCCTGCTGATTTTGTGGTCCCTGATGGCCTTCCACGTTTCCCAGATCGGTTGAGGTTTTTCTTTTTCTTTAGTTCATCTTTTGTCTCTATACTCCTGCCACTTGTGGTCTGCAAGTGCGACTCATTCAACGCATCTTGTCTCTGGCATGCAATGGGTTTGTGGCTGACTGCGTGGCTGTATTTACTTTGCTGCGTGGCATACAAGTCAAACTGATCGGCAGATCTCACATTGTCTTCGTTAAGGCAAGAACTCTTGCCGGTCCCACAGAAAGCTGGATTACTGCTGGCAACAGGGTGCATCATTTTCTACCAAAAAATAAGAGAGACAAATAGATATCAGTACATAACACTGCAGAGTGCCACAAGTGAGAATCTTATAAAAGCTACCTCTAGTTGTTAAAGTTAGTCCAAACTACTTTGTCTATTTGTAGTAAACAGTATTGATGTCAGTCAATTACTTTTAAAAGAGTTTTATTAAGCTTTCACTTGAGGTTTTGCATATACATATTATATATATTGATTGATATATATATATAGCCTTTACATATGGTTACAAAAGACAATTTAAACCACATATTATTCAGACAGATAAAGAAGTGTATGTTAAGGAAGTGGACAAGAGCATTTCACCAAGATATACAATATTCAGTCACCCATTATGGTTTTAAAACCTTTCTAACTGAATCTCATCTAAATTCTAACCATTCTATTTGTAAGAATAACCTATCACCTGTGAGCCAAGGAAAAGTATGGTGTCATTGTCTTGATTATGTATACAAAGGCTTCTAAGGACTTTTTTTTTTTACAGCAGATTAATAAAACACTGATCAGTTTTGTCATTTCTTGTCACAACTGATATGAAAGAAAGAAACAGGTAAGGCATTCAGCAAAGACTATGGTGTCACAGTTGGACAGCTGAAGGATGAAATGAATCTATTATGAAGTACAAGATGCTGGACTGCAGAAATGCCACCACTGTCCTAGTTAGAAGGGCAGGTACAAACTGCTGGTAACGCCAGCTCCGAGGTAACAACACAAAACTGACTTGAGCTGTGCTCTGCTTACAGAGGTTTATTTGTTTCAACAAGGATCGAAGCCCTGTCTTCAGGACAGCAGAAGGGTGACTCTCACCATGTTACCACAGGTTAACCCCAGTTCCAATGGATGAAGTGACGTCCAGCTGCTAGAAACCATGAACCATCACTGTCATAGTTACAAGCAACTGAGGGTGCTGAAGCACTGGCACAGGGTGCTCAGAGAAGCTGTGGCTGCCCCATCCCTGGCAGTGTTCAAGGCCAGGTTGGACAGGGCTTGGAGCAAGCTGCTCTTGTGGAAGGTGTCCCTGCCTATGATTCTATGAACTATTTCTAAGTGAATTGGTTCTGCTTATGTCCATCATATCAAATCCTTGTAGCACATGTACTGGGGTAGAATCACAACAATTAACAATATTACTGGTATTCTAGAACATTTTAGTATTAATACTTCTGAATGCCAACTATACAGATCAGATTTCTTAACGGGGGCAATACTGTATGAAGCCAGCAAAGCACTCAAGGAACAACACGGCAATATTTTCACCCATTCAACTATACTGGTTCTACAAGTTAAATCAGCTGAAAATACTCAGTTTAAGATAATATTTAGCCATGCTACAGAGAAGATGAAGCCAATCAATATCTGGCACATCAGAGTATTTCTGCACCCTACAGTCATGCTGAGGGCACCAAATACTTCTTCCTGTGATAAATTTCTCTAGTACATAAGGTCTGGAAGATTTATTGCACTTTCCATGCAGTGTCTCTGGAATATCACCTGGAGCAGCCCAATTTAAACTCTGCCACTGATTACTGAATTTATTTGGCAGTTATGAATGTTTCTTCCCAGCCAGAAGGCAGACAGCACAGACAGTCTATTTACTCAGGAATAAATCCTTGTGCCCTTTTCTTCCGATTACGATGGATACATTCCCTGCTGTAACACCCAATTTACCTTGGCTTGTCAAATGCTCATTACAGTGTATGCACTACTCCTGGGCAAATATATGAATATGGTTTGATGTCAAATAGTGAAATTATGATAGTCATATAGTCTAAATATTAGATGGTTCTAACAGAGATTATCCAAATGCTGCAATTCTGCTGTGATGCATGGGGTACAGTGGAACAAACATGAAACCACACTTACTGCAAACGCTGACTAGCAAACGGTACAGCTAAGAATAATTAGCAGGCCTGTGGTTAACAAAGCACAAAGGAAGCAAGCTACAGGTCAGGAGACCAGACAGACTTTTCTGTGCAGCACAAAAAAAGGAAACGTCAGATTTTCTACCATTAGCAGTCAAAAAAAACGTTACCTTCCTTTAACCCCACTAAAATAAGGCCCACAAAAAAATAGCTGAGATTTTTGAGGATGCGTAACTGCAAACATACCGGTTCTGATAATGTACTTCTGCTGCCGAGAGAGTAAGCCCAGCAGCTCTGAAAGGCTATTCATCTCTTTGCTAATACACTGGAGGACACTTGGAGCAGTTACCAGCATTCTTGTCTGAATACTCCCTTTAAACACTGGCTTCAGCCCCAAAAAGCTGCTCGGAGCTCGACTGCCACAAAGAAGGATCAGTTCAGCTGCCTGGTATCCGGGGAACACACCAGAGCAGGGAAAAGGCACTGAATTATGTGGGGGCCCCTGGCATTTCTCAGGAGACCGAGCACTGCTCAGAGTCATTCCTGCTTATGTTACATTCTTATTCTCCACCTTTTTTCCCTCAACCCAGGGGGATTTTTCCTACAGACTGCATCCATCTTTCCTGGGGAGAACCATCGCAGGTACTCCTAGACAGTGAATATACCCTGCTGTAGCAGCCAAACATTGGAGTCTCATCATCATTTGCATGTGTTTTGTATCTACTGTAATATCCCTGAGAGTTCTAACTTTACATACAAAACCTGACTGATACTCGTTTACCTTCCATCTGGCCACAGCCAGCATCACTGTAACTGATGAGAGAAGAAAGCCAAACAAATCAGTAACTGTTTCAAATTTCTTACCAGATGAAGTATAAAAACCCCACCATCTTGGTGGAAAACTGCCAATGAGCTTTTTCTGTTCTGCTTCCCCCCTCACCTTGCACCGGTTTTCATCAAACCATGAAAATTTCAAGTAGGAGCCGAGGTTTGTTTTCTGTGGGTTTTGATTTATCCTAGAATCCCAGACTCTCTCAGCCTGTCCCTCTTGTGTTGTTGCCCCAGAGCCGGACACAGGACTGCAGTGGGGGGGGGGTCTCCTCTACTGAGAGGCAGAATCCCCTCCCTCGACCTGCTCTGGGGATGCAGCTCAGCACATGGCTGGCTTTCCAGGCTGGAAGTGCGCTCTGCTGGGTCATGGGGAGCTTGAAGACTTTTTTTTCTTACGTTTTAAAAAGGAAATCTGTAATTGAGCTTAATTCCCCTAACATGGACATCTCCAGCATAATTTTACTTCATTCACATTACAGCAGGGAATAAAAGAATGTAATGAGTCCATCTGTAGAGTGGAAGCAGGTTTCTTGGCAGGGAGATACACGGGATAAATCAGAATTGGTATAAAATGCAAAGCTATGCCAATTTAAAAATAACACTAGCTAAACTGTATAGCTAAACACACACACGCTTGTGTGCAAGCCGCCTTAAACAAAACCAGCCACAAAAGTTTCCAGTAGAATAGAACTTACTTGGTTTAAACTTGTAAAAGATATTTGTAACAGTTTACTTAAATCAGTTTTTAAACTGATTCAACTGACTGGTTGAACATCCCTGTGTAAACAAACAGTTAAGATGAGGCCTTGAGGTAACATTTAGTTGCATTTCAAACAGGTTTTTACTGGGAACTGGCTGTAGAGGATTTTCTGTATGGATCCTTTTTCCTCTGGTATTTTATTTCTATACAAATGCTGGGGAAGGGAGGAGAGAACCGGATAAGCTAGCTTTGGGAAAAGAGAGGCAGCATTAGAGCTTTATGTGTAACAAAGCACAGAAACTTCACCACTGCTAGAAATAAAGAAACAAACAGGTCAATCCATCCATCCGAGACCCGCAAAGCTTTGCTGCATGGGCATTTCTGGACATGGCAAGGAGCTCTCCTTTTAAAGCACAGCTGTACTGCAAGGTTTACCTGCTGCAGCACTAGCAAAGCGAGTCAGGTTTTGTTTTACTCAGATGACAGCCAGGCCTATTGGTTGGTTAATACACAACATATGAGGCTGCTTTTTTTTGTACTTCACAGTCAAGCTTGGTATGGTTTGTTTTCTTCTGCAAGGAGATGAAACAGAAGCCATATTTATAGGCGATACAGATGAACCAAGAAACTTAAGTAATTACACCTAATTCCAGTAATATTACAGGTTTTGGATGGACAGAGTGCATCCTTGTAGCCCTAAACACATGTTAACACACTACACAGTTCTAGCTTACAGCTACTAAAGCTTGTGCTATGGTATGGTCCATCTCTCTCTAAGCTTGAAACCCTGCAGAAACCCCCTGTTCATGTCTTGTACACTACAAAATATTGTAAGATCAAAGCTACACAAATCACTTGTCATAAAAACACCCTCCATCAAGCAGAATACTCAGTTCCCACATCAGAGCAGTTGCCTGCTGCTGCTGCTTGTCTCACCCACTCCAACCTGCTTGCTCAAACTACAACCTGGTCAGCCCCAAAACAGCCCTGAGTCGACAATGCTTCTGACGTTAAAACACCCTGAATCAGAGCAAAACTGAACAAAGATGGAAGCACGCCTATATTACAGCTCTCCAAATTATGAATATCAGGAAAAGCACATTCCTATCACCAACAGGGACAATTTTGCTTTCAATGAGGGTTTGTGCATAAAACCCCACTCATTTTCTGAAGGCTTGCTCTGCCGAGCCCACAGTACTTTCAACAGAATCGATGGAGCTGTAGGAGGCCACAGCAGCACATTTTCATCATCATCCAACACACAAAAAGCACATGACATACTACCTAAAACCACAAGCAGCTACAAGTATTATTTCTGCACTAGTACCCTGCATGTCACTTCTACTAAGTAAAGCGGCTGGAGCGGAGCACAGGAGCAGCTCTGTTCAGAACGCAGCTGCATAAAGAACGCTCTGTGCCACGTGTCACACGCAGGGGCTGCATGCCCTGGAGAATACCAAAGGGCTCCTTTACTTTGCAGGGAGGAGAGTTTAAGCGGCAGCAGAAGCAGGGATATTTTCCCTTTCAAGACTGCAACAGAGATATGATATCAGTTCTGCTTTTCCCTCTTAGTGTAAGAAACACTTTCACTACTCAGTTAAAAGAATGAACTGTATCACTTTAAATGTTCTTCAAGTGTCCCTTTCACTGTCAGCTTCTTTTCTACACCTTAACCCTTGCTGAAGTAGGGCCTTCCCCAAGTCTTAAAAACCTGTAACTGCTCATTTTCACAATGTTGCACCTTACCACGTGTATTCCCATAAATGTAAATATTTTAAAAACACCAAGTATGAAATCCTATCAGTGGCACAATATGCACTCTAACACCTGACCCTGCATTTGGAACCTGTTCTACTTCTGAAGCTGGATAACCGCTTTCACCAAACCATGCTTACGAAGCACTTTCCACAGCTGATTGCATGATTTTCATTTGACACTAGGTAAAATACATTAAAACCAGCCAAAACACACAACAGCTTCTTTACAGCAGTGACTCACTAGAGCTACCACATGACAACATGAGACTGCAAACTAAACATGATTTTGAAAAGTTTCTCAGTTATTCTCAGTGCAAAAAAAAAAGGACTAAGCAACACAAGGACTTACAAGTACAGTCCTTCCCTGTGACCCAGGGTCACTTTCTTGCATGACTGAAGTTAAATGAAGAGTTATTTGGAGACGATATACCCACCCCTTCAAATTCCTCTTCTCCCAAGATGTGCCAGGCAGAGGGGAAGCCTTCCCTTCCAGTGGGGCTGTGATTCCTGGTCCTTACCAGAGAGCTGTAACCTGGCTGCATCTCTGTGCCTTTGGGAGTTCTTTTGACTCAGATGCCCTTGGAGAAACACTGCTCTCCAATGCCTAACCACCAGCTTTGTATTAAAGACAAAGATCAGTGCTGCTCCCACAAAGTTTAGATGTTGTCAGGCACTAGGTAGGCTAAGCGTCAAGTAAACTGAGAACTTTTAGGCATCATTCATTATTTGATTGAGAAACCAGGCAAGCAAGTAACTGTTAGGCTTTCTGACCTTAAAAACCAAATAAGTCATACCTAAGGGCAGAGTTTCATTAGATGCTAACATCAGCAAGAACATCAGCTGACTTCTCCCACCCCAAAGTTAAGATCATATAAACATGTGATGAGAAACAGGACACTTGAAAAGGTTAAGAGCTTCACAAAAATTAAGGAAGATCACATCAATGGTTTAATTAAGTGCACACCTCCAGTTACACTGACACAACTGACAGGCTGGTTTCATAATCAATAGAAACCACTCTGAATCTGTATTTTTTCTGAACAGGACAATCTTGCCCTTTCCTCTTCTCCCATGTTCCCGCTCCTTGTGCCAACACTATTGTGCAAGAGCAGGACAAACCAACACAAGGGCTCTGACCCAGGTGAAAACCAATCCAGCAGGAAAGCAAAAGGACCAGTTGGCTGGCAGTGAGGCAAGAGACGAACAGAAACAAATTTCCATTATAAGCATACAGAAAGACTGAGCTCCCAGGTCAGCTTAAGCCATGTTCCTCACTGGCTGCCACTGATCCACTCCCCCCTGGTCCCAGTTACTTAAAAAAGCTCACCAGACTTCACAAAGCTGATTTTGACAACTTAATGGACTTAGAAGACTTGAATGAAGGGCATAACAAGCCCCAAACACACCACAGGGAATAGAAGGTGGGGAAAACTCCCACAGTTGGGGATGGGGCAGCACAGAATGAAGGCAGCCATCAGGCCAGATAGACTGGCTTAGAGGAGTGAGGTTGTGAAACTGCACCCTGATTATCCTGCGGTTCTCTCATTACCAAACTTCAAGGCAATCTACATATGCATATGAATGATGGAGCAGGTAGAGATCTTTATAAAGAGAGGACTGTTAGTGTTTGTGAATTGTCCATTCACCTCAAGGAGCTATTCCAAGCTAAACAGGAGCAGACCACAACAACGGCTTTGAGGAGCTGGAGATGCTTGTTCATCTCAGTGGGTGTTCTCGCCCACCCGTTCCTCTCCCCAGGGAACAGACCTAATGCAGCCTGGAACAATAGCTCGGAGAGATACAAGGTGCTCATTCATCTCAGTGGGTGTTCTCACCTACCCTCTCCTCCTTCCCTAGCCTCTTTCCACAAAAGGATTTGGGAGCTTAAGAGATGGATCAAACATCTGCCTGATGTGCGCTTCCACAGGACTTAGAGCAAAAGGCTCCGGGCACCTTTCAGCACACCCAAACACCACCACTGCAGCGCACTTATGTGAGAATGCAGAAAGGCAAAGTCCTGAACCTGTTCAACAACGGTCAATGGACAAACACACGGGACTTTTCTGTTTAAGGTTGCATCTAAAACCTGGAGGATACAGACAGATTACAAAGAGCAACTGTGGAATGTGAAACAGAAATAAACCATAATTTAAGAACTGTATTAACCAAGTGTTACTCCAACTCTTTCACTGCACAAAAATAACCACATGGATCAACATAACTGTCACTTTTTTTCCAGAGAGAAATGCACGTGAAGTGAAGGTGCAACTACTCACTAATTAATTACCCCAGAAGGACTATGCACAAATAAGGGTGTAGTAAACTCTCAGTAACTACGTGCAAGCATATACACCACTTAGAGGGATTACTCTGGAACGCAAACACAGAAGGAACACACCGGCGGGTATCCAGACACCCTGACACGCAGGTGAATGGAGGCACTACTTAACTACGGCAAGGTAATACACCCGTGGACTGCATTCATGCGTTACAACCGCACACGCTCACGGAAACACTCTCCAAGTACAAGCACTGCACACACACACACATACACCATCCCCACCACGGGAGCCATGGGTGCTGGGGGGAATTAACAACAATTCCCGAGCACGGCGAGGCCCCGGTGGGGAGCAGCGGGAGGCCCCGGCTCCACCTGCGGAGGCCAAGGGCCAGCTGAGGGGACAAAGGGGCGGCGCAGCCCCACCACCGCCGCCGGTGGGTCACCGGGGGCTCGCCTCCCGTGTCACCTGCCTTGTGCGGGCAACAGGAAACAGGCCTCGGCCCAAAGCCCCGCTCCGGTGCAGGGCACGGCCCGGCTCCCTCCCGTCGGGCGGGGGACAGAGGGACGGGGCGGCGATGGCGCAGCTCCACTCAAGCGGGGCGCGCAGGCCGGCCCCCCCCGTATGGAGACCGAGGGATCCCCCTCAGCGGCGGGGCCGAACGCGGCCGGCGGCGGAGGGGAACGGAAGGGAGCGGAACGGAGCGAACCCTCTCCGCTCCCCTCCCCCGCCGGCCGCGTCTCCATCTTGCCCGGCCACCGCCTCCCACCCCGCGGAGAAGGGCCCGGGGGACGCGGGTCCGGTCCGCACCTACCTGAGGGGATCGGGGCGGCCTGCGGGGCGGCGGCGGGCGGGCGGGCGGGAGCGAGCGGCCGCCTCCCCCACACCCCGCCGGGCGGCTGCAGGGAGCGGCGCTGCGGCGGGCGCGGGCGGGAGGGAGGGCGGGGCGCGCTCCCGAGCGGGGCCGCGCCGCGGGGGCGCGCGGCGAGCGTGCGCGGGGCGGGGCCGGCGGGGGGCTCCTCCCGCCTCTGAAGCGCTCAATGTGAGGGAGCGGCCGCCATTTTGTCCTAGCGGGCGGGAGGGCGCCATCGCCTCCGTGGCAAGGCGTGGGAGCGCCTGCGTTGAGCTGCCTTTGCTATTCCTCTCCGTTATTCACATGCTTCTTTGCACCTGGCTCCTAAGGATAAAGCGCTGATTTACTGTATGGTGAAGTGAATCACAGAATCACAGAACTTAAAGCTCATCCAGTTCCAACCCCATGCCATAGGCAGGGACACCTTCCACTAGAGCAGGTTCCTCCAAGCCCTGTCCAAATACTGTAAATGCTGAAGCATGTTCATGGAAGCTGATGTAGGATTTGTGGTATTCCCATTACTTTGATTCGGATGGAGGAGCGTGGTACAATGCATTATAGTCAAGGTATTTATTGTTGATTGTCAAATACTTTGCCCTGTTTCATCCATCATGTCCTAGGGAGTTCAGCACTGCAGTCACACTTCACTATAAACAAGCCTTTATCCCTTTAAGCAGGTATAAAGTTGCTGCTTCAATTATTTCCATGAGAATCCCATTGAAAGAGGATTTTTAAGAGCCCAGCACTTTCCATAATCCACCCTTTTGTCTTCAGTGTCCCTTTTAGCAAAACAATGTGATTTTGTGGAGGGCTCTGACCAGCAGATTGCTTTATCCGCCTGTTTGTTAATGACCACAACTGCATCGGTGCCTCTCTGTATTCATCCAGCCCTTCCTGCCTGCTCTTCGCACCCTTGGGCCACTTTGGGCCACAAACCTTCAAATCACAGGCTCTACATGAGCATGGAAGGCCTTAAATTGATACCTGGGAATAAAGGGTTAACATTGTGCCTGCTTGCTGAAGCAGTCATTGTGCCTGGCGAAGCAGAACCGTAGGAGTCAACATTGGTAGAATGGTGAAGCAGAATTGTAGGAGTTACAGCTGCCAGGCAGAACTGTAGTAGATGAGATTCATAACTTGTGTGAGGAACATTGAAGACATTCTTGTTTAAGCAGTATCCATAGAAAGAAAAGGAACAAAAGATAAGCAGAGTAACAACATTTGCAAAGTTGACAAGTTTCTGCCTTAAGATACATAAAACAGGCTTGTACCGAACCTGAGGTTTGGATGGGAGCCGAAACCCTATTGAGTCTGTGTGAAAGCAAGAGGTGACTCATGGTGATGAAGAGGAACTCCAGGCCTTCATCCTCACGACCCCCTAATGACCACCACCAGGAGGCACTGCGCAAGCGCACCAATGAGACAAATGCCAGCAAACTAACTATAATACTAGACAGGAATAGGTTTTGCATATGTATTAGGTGTGAAGTAATCTCATGTTTAGGTAATCATTACATGCAATATAAACAAACTGAGTGGCAAAGAAAAGGTGCGCATGCCTTTGGAGGAGCCATCCCCCATGCGCCTCAGCACCGAATAAAGCATACCTACTTTAAAACTTTAACGGGTTGTGGAGTCTGTCCGCGTATCAAAGTGACATATGAAACGGTCTGGAAGCTGTTCTGCGTTATTCAGATGAGGTCTTAGGAAATAAAACCAGAAAAGAGCAGGCAAAAAAAAAAAAGAACCTGCAGCTTTTACAAAGGGCTAATTCTGTTTTTCTATGTACATGTTGTTTGGGGAGCTGACTGCTGTACTCCAACCCTCGGGTATTCCATTGCTATGGTACTTGGAGCTCCTCAGGCTGAAAATTGCTGTGAAACATCCTGCCAAGACGATGGTTTGTGTTTTTCTGCCAGTGCTTCCTAATGCATGCAGGAATCCTCACTTGCAATGTAAGCAGCAGGGGAAAGCAGCATTTATTTAGCTTAATTTAGCAAATGATTCACTTTATTTACAAACCTTTCTGCTGGTTTTAACTCTTGGTTGGAAATGCTGCCACCAGCCAAAAGTGGTTGAGTTTGATACCTCCTTGGTTATCACGTTTTAATATCTTAGACTGGAAGGGGATGGAAACCTGGCCATGCTCAGGCTCCTGATTTATCAAGAAGAAACCATGATCTCAACAGAACACAGAAGCAGTCAGACTGTAGGGGAGTGAACCTGTAACGTGAAGCAGTGAAAGGTTCCATGCCCACAGTGCTCAAATATGAATCTGGTAGCAGCTGTGCTAATGAAAACAGGACCCAAACAAAACATAAACCCGTCAAGCTCCACAGAGCCTGAAACACGGCTGTTACTCAGGTTGTGAATCTGCTTCCTCCTTTGCTCCCTCTAGACTGCTCTCACTGGCAGTAGCAGATGATTACATCCATTATCTGTAAGGTAAACGATGCAATGAAATGCTGCCCCTTCTACAGCTGGACTGCAAAGTCCTGTTCTCCTTTCTGCAATCTCCACGTCTTCAAGGGGAGAGGAAGGGCCTAAGAGCACGAGTTCATCCTCCTGCCAACACAAGAGCTTCTCACTGTCCTCAGCTATGCAGCGTGCTGAGCAAGCAGGGAGAATTCAGTACTGTAACTGCCACCACCTCCTGTCCATTCAGCTATGAATTACTGGAGCTGGTGATTTCTGCAAATTCACTTCCTTGCTAACATGCACAGGCAGAGGAAACACAGGTTTTAGTTGGGATTAAGGATTTTCACTGAATACAACATTTTCCTTGCTTGGCAGTTAGTTTCACAACAGTTGCCTGGTGGTATTTATTGTTCTATGAAACATGTTTGTGATGATGAATTTCATAGTCAGAATGGCCAAAGTATAAAATAACTTTAAGAATCATGTTATTAAGAATTCCTTAGCTCACTAGAACAACTTAGTTCTGAGATGCTCATTAATTCACCTCTGCTTATGCTGGTCAGCTTGACAATTCTGTATCTGTTTGACAACAGAAGAAGATTTAAGCCTGTTTCAGATGCAAAGTCTCAGAGAAGCAATGTTTGGGTGGCAATCACTCAGCCTAATGGTCATTTATTTAAAAACAATTATTTCCACTGTAGCTAAAATGATGAAAACCAATCTTCCTGCCTAGCACTGTATAAACATTGTGCAAAATGTACATTTTGGGACAGACTGGAGTCCAGCTGTGTGCCTTTCATCTTCACATTCTTAGGTTGCTCCCTGCCTCCGCTCCCCCCCCTACAGCCACAGTAAGCTGGAAGCCACGATTTCTTCTGCAAATGCCCGAGCTCCAAGAACACCAACTTGTTTAAGCTGAGACCATATTTGGAAGAGATCTGGGTCAAGAAAAATAATCAAAGGGAAGTGCATTCCTGGAGCATCACGTGAGGAGGCCAGAGCACGCAGGCAGGACCAGACCGCGCTGGGAGACCGCCAAGGGGCCGTGCACGAGTGACTCGCTGCGAGGAGGCTCATGGCAAGGGCAGGCTTTACACCAACACTACCTCACTCGCCTATCTGGGCAGACTGGGGAAAGGTTCTAATAGAGGTGTTCAGCAGCACATCATTGATAGTGGGTGTCCATGGCAGAAAATGGAAAACTAATCCTGCAAGCTCCACAGTATCCATCCTCAGACATACACTTACCTGTCTCTAACCCTGCCACTAGCTTCACAAAGTAACACTGCTTCTTATGAACATAAACACATCTGAAGGACTGAAATACCAACATGCACTCACTCTCCTTGAGACTCTGTCATTCTTTTTCTTACTTTACAAAGATCCCAAATCCAGCCTTTGGTGTTCTACATTCAGCTATTACAATTCAGAATTTTAGCAAAGCTTTGCTTAAGAATCATTATTTTTTTGTCTTCCACTTGGAAGCCTTGAGAAGAATTCCTACAGATGGCATGCTGAGCCTCAGAATCTTTTATTCAATCAGCAGCCAAATGCACAGTAAATAGTCTGCACTGCTTTAATTGTACAAGTAAAATCTCAAGCAGCCAAGGCAGGGAACAGCTACAGAACATGCCAGGCTGTGATCTACTCATTACATTGTGGTTACAACTTTCACAGCATAAAAGACTAACAGGTTGTGTAGGCCTTAAGCTATTTAACAGAATGAAGGGTGGTGATGATGTGCAGTGTGGCTGGGGTAGTATAAAATTCTGAACTGTGACTGCACACAGTTTTCATCTTGCTGTGATTCCCCCCCCCCCCCGAACACTGGCTGTGGTCCTCCTTTTGTGTTTTCTTGGCTAGGGCATAGAGCAAACCTCTGCCTGTTCACCCACTCATTTGTGTAGAGAGGAGCCTCATGTGCTGTATCAGCTCGAATACACAAACCACTGCAGCAGAGGGGCTGTCCTTAACCTTCACAGTGTGGTGAGGAATATTGCTGTATGAGTCTCTGGAGGGCTGCTTGCAAGGGGAACGACAGAGCCAGCACAGCTGCGAGCAAGAACCTTGATCTATCCTTCTCCTGACACAGACTAACTTCCTTCCTAACTGATGTGGACCTGCTGAGGCTGGATCTCAGGCTATGGTGGAGGCTGCCATGGAAAATGCTGGCCCAAGGCTCCCCTTTGCTGCTTCGAGTGATCACCACTGCCTCCAGATTCACACACCTTCACCTACCTACACCTGAAAATGCGAGTGTCCTGTTCCCTGAGAACAGCAATCACCCTGCCATCACTGCTGCATGATGACAACATCACATTACTGTGACAGGCACAAGCAAAAACTTATTCATGATCTAGTACCAAATACCTGTATCACCTACCCACCCAAACCACCACTGTTGACTCAAACACTGAAAACATAAGGCAACCTGGAAAGCTGGTAGCACATCACCTTGGGCAAATAACAGAACAAGCTGTGCTTTTATGTATTAAAAATAATAATAAAGAAGAAATACAACATTCCTGTGCTCTTCCAACAATTGGCAACAGGAATCTGCCTCGGGCAGATTCCCTGGAAAGCAGCCAAACTGTGATGTTTATAAAGATCTCGCCTATATCCATGGATACCTCTGGAAAGAGCTAAATATAACATTTTTCATTAC